CGCTAGCTAACTCCTTATCTAATACATTATTCATTTAAGTCTAACGATTCCGCCCTGCCAGGAAATTTATTCTGGCCGACATCTATCACAATATTCTCGCTCTTCTAGTTTAATTGGATAGAGGCATTCCTTACAAAGAGAAATATTAAGATTTGTAAGCGTATCTCTATGAGCAAGCATCATTTCCTTATAAGTTTTTTCTCGTGTCTCAGATTGAAGTCTTTCACGTATCTCAGATTGAAGCCTTTCTTGTATCTCTAATCGAAGACTTTCTGATCGAAGCCTGACATAAAACTGAATAACATAATAGTCTCTGACATGATCTGGGCATCGGCTACAAGCAGAAGCAGTTGGATTATCACAATCAGAGCATGGAACCCGTTTTTTTGATTTCCAATGAAATCGGCAACCTTTAGGGCGAATGCAAGCTCTCCCACAAGCCTTTCCGGTATTGCAGAGATATGGGCAAGAATATTTACTGATTATCCTATTTTTTATCACTAAATTTCAAAAGATTAATTAATAATTAGTTAATACTTCAGTTTTGGAAAGGATAGCTAGAACCATTTTGGCAAGCCTGAAAATACTGGCTTTGGTGGAAACTCTATAATCGGAAAGTGAAAAGAATAGGAAATAATTAATTAAAGAAAAAATTTTATAAACAAGTAAAAGCGCGATGGTTAGAGTTAACACTATGGTTAGAAAAACAAAAAGTGATAAGAAAGTTAGAATCTGTAAATGTTGTGGTAGTGAATACTCAATACCTCAAAAACTTCGTGAGCATCTTAAGCGAAAAAATCTATGCAAACCATTACAAGAAGCTAACCAACAACCCATTGAAGAGAATATTCAAAAACCTGTTCAAGTGGCTATCCAAGAACCTGTTCAAAAGAATAGAGACTATATTAGCCAGGAGGAGGCAGACAAATAGGTTAACCCAAATGCCCGAAAACCTGGTGAACATTTTAGAACATGGGGAACACGACTACAAAAAAGATAGAAAGAACTTGGTCTAGGTGGATGTCTTAAAACAGAAAACTTGGATGACTGTATAACTCTCTGTTATGATCTTGAACAATACGATCCAGAAGTAGTTAGACCACCAACAAAAGAGGAATTAAAAGAAGAGATTAAGAAGAGACAAGAAAGACCAGAAAAAGACCTAGAGTTTAGAGAGCAAGAAGAGTTGAGAATGGCAGTTAAAAGAAGTGCTATAGCTATACATCATGCAAAAGTTTCTAAATCTCATCCAGATAATAGAAGTGATATACGAAAAATGTTAGAAAGCTGAAGAAAGCAGTTTAGGGAAATACTTGAAAAGGAATTCGATAAGCGTGGACAATTTAAGTTCACTCTATGTTCTTTTACCAAATTTCTTATAGATGATAAACCTGGAAATGAAAAACAGGGAAAAAAGAATTCACGAACTGACTGGCTTAGA